TATTATTACGTTTCAGGTTGTCCTGCATTTCCCTAAATGCCTCTTCATGCTTTCTGGGTCTTTTTTCATTTTCTTGCTCTTTCTGGGAGCTTTTTTCTACCTTGTCCTCCAGCTGGCTGATTCATTCTTCAGCTTCATCTAGCCTGATTTTGATTCCTTTTACTGTGTTCTTCAATTCAGAAATCGTATTCTTCATTTCCTCTTGCCTCTTATTGGTAGTTTCTATGTCTTTTTCCATGCTGATATAGTTTGCAGTAAGTTCCTCGTAGTTTCCCTGTAGTTTTCTGTAATTCTCTCTGAGCTTACTGAGCTCATTGAGCTTCCTTAGAACTGTTGTTTTGAACTATCTGATAGTTTACTTGCCTCTATTTCTTTTAGTTCTCTTTGTGGGGATTCCTCCTTTCCCTTTGAGTGGGGCATATTTCTTTGTCTTCCCATTCTTTGTGAGACTCTTCTCTTTTGCTTCTGCTTCTTAAGTTGATCTGTCTTGATTTCCTGACTTTGTGGTGTGAACTTCTATGGTTGGAGACCACTGTTTTTACTTTCTGGATCTGCCTGTGATGATGTCAGATGTCGTCCCTGTCTGACATTAGGCGGTCTGTTCCAGACTTCCAGGAATCTGCTGTCTCTGGCTTTCTCCTTCAGCTGTTAATCTATTCACTCTGCACTCAGCAGGGCGCCTTAGACAGCTCAGGGCGGGGCCGAGTCCCTCCTGGGGGATTGAGGTTATTGGGTCCTCTCTTGCTGCTGCCATATGGGGGAAGAGTCTGCACTGGGATCCCACAGGCTACTCTCTCAGTTCTCTCCCTAAAGCCTCCATCCCCAGTCTCTCCTCAAGTGTCGCTAGACTACCCTGCAGCCCCTTTAGCCAGGGATCTTATGTTTGTGGCTGCCACTCTGCACTCAGCAGGCAGCTTAGACAGCACAGGGTGGGGTCGAATCCCACCTGGGGCGGGGCTATGTGGTCTTTTGACACTGGTGCCACTCAGGGGGGAGTGACCTCTTCCTGAGCAAAGTGGCTACTGCCGCATCGGGGATGAGTCAGCACTGAGATCCAGCCAGCTACTCTCTCAGATCACTCCCCATTGCCCCCTTCCCCACTCTCTTCTCAGGCGTCTCTAGCCCACTCTGTACCCGCCTTTGCCGGAGACCAGGGTAAGTGACTGCAAATAAAAATTTTGCATTGGCCCCCAGAAGGCTCTTTGTGTCTCCAGTCGCCTGCCTCTGTCAGAGAGCAACCGTGCCGCTTTTCGCAGCTGGCTGTTTTCTGTGTACTTTTTGGGCTCTGGTGCTGTAGGCTGGAGATTCCCGATTTTGGTTTAGACCCTGTTCTTCTCAGGGGGATCCATCTGGCCGTTTCAATATCCCTCTGGTGCTCCACCCTGCCCGCCTTCGCAGGTCCGCACTCCCTACCTTTTAGATTGCACTAAAGCCAATTCTTGTGTCTCCAAGGTTACAAAGCTCCTCTCTCGCTACTTTTCAGTTGTGTGTTCTAGGTGATTTCTCCCCAATTTAGTTGTAACTCCAGGTTGTTCCTGGGAGGAGGTCAGTGTGACTTCCACTCATTCCTTTGCCATCTTGATTCTCCACCACTGGTATTTTAATCTGCAAACTTTCTTTTGAGAAATCAGTTGACAGTCTTATGGGAACCTCTTTGTAGGTAACTCTGCTTTTCTCTTGCTGCTTTTAAAATTCTCTCTTTATATTTAACCTTTGGCATTTTAATTATTATGTGTCTTAATGTGGTCCTCTTTGGGTCCATCTTGTTTGGGGCTCCCTGTACTTCCTGGACTTGTATGTCTATTTCCTTCACCAAATTAAGGAAGTTTTCTTTCATTATTTTTTCAAATAAGTTTTCAATTTCTTGTTCTTCCTCTTCTCTTTCTGTCACCCCTATGATTCGAATGCTGGTATGTTTGATGTTGTCCCAGAAGCTCCCTAGCCCATCCTTGTCTTTTTTTTTTTATTCTTTTTTCTTCTTGTTGTTCTGACTGAATGTTTTTTTTTTCCTATATTACAAATCATTTATTTGATTCTCAGCTTCATCCACTATGCTGTTGGTTCCCTGTGTGTTTTTCTTTATTTCACTTAGTGTATCCTTCATTTTTGCTAGGTTTTTTTTTTTATGCTGTTGAAGTATCCAATGAGTTCCTTGAGCATCCTGATAATGAGTGTTTTGAACTCTGCACTGATAGATTGCTTTTCTCCATTTTGTTTAGTTCTTTTTCTGGAGTTTTGTTCTGTTCTTTCTTTTGGGCCATATTTCTTTGCCGCCTCAATTTGACAGCCTCCCCGTGTTTGTTTCTACGTATTAGGTATAGCTGCTTTGACTCCCTATCTTAGTAGCATGGCCTATTGTAGAACAGCATACTGGTAAATTGAATGTGGTGGAGCCTTAGGTAATCACCAGGACAGGGCAACCCATGTGAACCAGGTTGATGGAGTCTCAGACAGGGTATCATTGCTCTATGGCTCTGTGTGTGAGGGGAGCTCAGAAAAGGGACAATGTGACTGCCCAGCCTCTGGAGTTTTGTCTGAGAGGAAGCTGTCTCCCAGCATTTGCCCTGAGGCCAGACACCTCAGTTTCTCCCCATATACCACCAGTGCCCTTCCACCTGCTGCCCTGGTGCTGAAGCCCAGAAGGAGTGAATCTGCATAAGTCTTAAGTCTGTTGTGGGCCCTTTAAGAGGGGATCCCTGAGAATCCTGCAGTTTCTTCTGCTGCCCCAACCCACTCTAGTTTTTACTGCCAGAAGTTATGGGGACTTATCTTCCTGGCACTGGAACCTTAAGCTGGGTGGTCTGGTGTTAGACTGGGATCTCTCACTCCCGATGTATCCCTCCCAATTTTTATCTACCACACATGACTGTGGGACTGCCTGTTCCGCATCTCCGCATCTCTGCCCCTCCTACCCATCAGAGTGAATGTGACTTCTTTAATTTCTTGGTTGTCAGAGTTCCATAGAGCGTGATTTTCTGACAATTGTGGATGATATTTGTTTTGCAGTCTAGTTGTAATTTTTGCTGTGGTTGTGCGAGGAGAAGAGCCATGTTTACCTATGCCTCCATCTTGACCAGAATTCTGCATCCCTTATGTTTTTAGTGTTGTGTTTTCTTTTTTACTCATATTAAGATAGTTTCTAATTTCCTTTGTTGTGCTTAGACTTTCTGTGGGGGGTAACATTTCTATTTCATCACTAGATTAATTCCAGAGAGCATTAGCCCCTTCAGGCCCCTGGATTTATACTTATAACTTTACAGAGTAATATCTGAGGAATAGAGGAACTGAAAGCAGACATTAGTGGCTAGGGAAGAAGGACTACCATTTAAGCTGCAGCTTTTGAAGCCATCCTGTGGCCTGTGTTCTTCTAAACCAGTGGTTCTCAACTAGGGGTGATTAGACCTTCAGGTGACATTGGCAATGTCTATACACATTTTTGGTTGTCACAACTGGGGTAGGGGGTAGCGTGAAATAGACACCAGGGATGCTGCTAAACACTGTAGAGTGCACAGGGCATCCCCTCACACCAGAGTTATATGGCTTGAAATGTCAATACTGGGCTGTTCAGAAACCTTTCTTAACCTCTTAAATTGGTGAGACTGTTTCCTACTCACCCAGCACCTACCTGTATAGTGTCTTGCTACCTCTTAACAATGGTCACCTGAGGTAGGTGAAATGTCACAATTTTAGATGAAGTGAGCAAAGCCTTAAAGCTGAATCAACCTGTCAGTCAGTAGCAGAGCCTGGATGACCACACTTCAGATGAGTTGTTTCCCAAAAAGCCCACAGCTAGCTGGGCTCCGCTTGCTTTGTCCATTCTATCTTTTAAAAGCAGGCCGTTATGCATTGTCTTTTGAGTATGTGTCTGGCATATTGGTAGGCTCAGGGGCTTCTCCTAGCTAAGAATACTTCACATTGTCCTATAATCCCTCACTGTCTTGTTTAATACCCTCCCTCTAAAATAGAGTAGAAACTCCCTGTGGGCAACATGGCATTTGGCATTGAGTATATATTCAATAAATTTTTTGTTGAAAAAATTAGGTGATATGAAAGAAAAATGTTAGCTTGGTTATCTCTAGGAGCTCAAAATGAAGGTTGTAGTTGCCTCCAGGAAGGCTGGGAAATGGGGCGTGATCTTAGGACTAATGGAGGGTGTAATTGTGGGTATGTATATTCTTTGTTTTGCCCATGGGATTTAATTGTTTTGTCACAAATAATACACTGGCAAGCATTATTTCCCTTGTTAAATTCCTCACATTTTAACTTCCTTTTCTAATTGAATTGTTCATACTAGCACCTTTTACCTTATTAAAAGGCCAGTTTTAACCCATTTTTAAAAATTCAATGTCCTCAGATTTTGTTCCCTAAAGGTGTTATCAAAAACATAACTTAAAAAATCTTTTGTGATATCTGACATCAGTTATTGTTAAATTATCCTGGCATTGAATCTCTATAGTAAGTTCTTAATGAGAGGTTCAGTGACTTTAAGTGAAACAATGTATAACAAAACTAATTTTACCATAGACTAATTGATATAAACAAGAGCTTCATTCCTACAGCATCTCATTAACATGATAACAAAATGACATTATTCAAAGACTTGCTCTGTGTTTTAAGGTAGCTGGTCTCAATTTTTCCATCCACAAAATGCGAATAATGATCCTTTGTTAGCTGAGACCTTTCTTGACGATAAGATGATTTAAAGCACACAAAATCATTCTGAACAGTACTGTGTAAATCACAAGGCACCTCCAGTTATGGGTAACTGAAAATTTGTGTTTGTCTGAGTTATGCAATATAACTAGTTGTGATGCAATTATAAAAGTAGTCTGCTGGAATGAAACAAAGTGCATTCAGACTTTGTTTTTCTTACTTACACTCGTAGCCTGAGTCAATGGGACTTTTTTTTCCCCTAGTTAACTTGATTAAAAGGTCTAAAGACATTTTTTGCCTTTGACTGTCCTGACAATTACAATACTTTGACCTTTGTTTCTTCACAGGTATTACAGAACATCCTGGACACTGAAAAAGATTACGCTAAAGAACTTCAGTCTCTTCTTGTTACTTACTTAAGACCCCTGCAGTCTAATAACAAGTAAGGTTTATATTTTAAACCCCTCACTAAATAAAACAAGATAATATCAACATATGGAGTCATTACTCTCATGTCACTGAATAATTGATTTTGCCCTTTAGAAGAATTTCCACAGATCTCTGGTTGCTAAGAACATGGTTGAGTCAACAGAAATTATGCAAGATGTTGCTTTTGGAGAGGCTGGCTTTCTTTCTGTTCTGGCTGTGAAAGGGATAGAAAGATCTGCATTTCTCTCTGTCATCATTTTTATCGTGTATGTTTTAAAAGTGCTACGTCTGTTTTTACCTTACAAGAAAAGGACCTGAGTGTGTTTTTATGAACAAAGCACATAAATTGAAAATTCTTGTGCTCACTCTGAACTTTGCTTGTCAGGGCAGAAACTCTTTCCCATGTTCTGAGAGTGGAAAAATGTGGCATTTTGTAAATGTTCATAAGAGCAATTCAGGCCAGTATTTTTTCCCAGGCAAAAGTGAATGACAAAGAGATGTTAAAATTTTTCTTTAAATAAAATATTTAATAAAATGTTCAAACCGTATTCTGGTTTAGATCTCTAAAGTCGTTGTGTGATGCCTGAATTGAAAACAATTTTCACAAATGAAAAATATTGGTTATTCATTTTTTAGGGGGTATGTAAGGCATGGCATATTTAACAAATAGTGGCTAATTGCATTTGTTTGTGTTTTTATGTTAATTGATTACTATTTACTAGAGATTATGATCTATACATCAGATAGAAAATTTAGCAGTTATCCATATAATGGAGGACAAAAGCCTCTTCTTTTACTTAGTAAGAATTTATTTTTGCAGGAAAGTTACCTAAACTATTGACTTCAGGCTTAAGTAAGTTTAATATGTTTCACTATTTTTCTCCTTTTTTCCAAATTATGTTTGCTTAAGCATATCTTGCTAAATTTCCCACTTGGTTATTTTCTTGGCACTATGTAAATACTTCAGTATGAAAAGATTTTGTATTCCTCTGTTTTTTAAGAGTTTAAACATAATTGACAATGAAGTGTCTTTTGTCATTATTATGTAAAATATGAAGTGTTCTGTGAATCATAGTTCTTAGAAGTGAGGGAACCTCAGTGAATCATTAGACTTGGTGGCCTGAAAGAAATGACTATCCCCATTGAATAAAAAAGAAAACTGAAGTCCAGAAAGGCTTTCTGCTGTACCCATCGCAAAGCCAGTCTGCTGCCAGACAGGACCCTCTGTGTTTCCTGCTTTTGAGTGAAATGGGTCTTTTTATTTTCTGGAGGTGATAGGCAGAAGTGGAGAGGGAAACTGATTTGATAACCTTGGGAGGGGAGATGGTAAGATTTCAAACGAAGAGTGACTGATTAGTAATTAAGAAACAATAAGAAGAGAGGAAAGGAAAAGAGCCAGGGCAGAGGAGGTGAGAGACCTGAATTAGAACAGCGTTGTTCCCAACTAAATTCAAAATTTGGTTATAGTAAATTTCCATTGATTTTGTCTTGCAGACCCCAGAGTGATTTGAGCCAAACCAGATTGTTTATCATCTGATTTTGAAGGATGAACCAAATAAGCCCCTACTCAGTTTCTTGGGGCTGTGAGAGAGTAACAAGCAGGGAGGCTGGCTGAAGGTTTCACTTTTGACACCCATAATAGGGGTTTTTCAGCCTGTGGTACAGGAAAACACTAGAGGAACTGGGAGCTTTTTATACTCTAGGGGTTCCTGGTAATGTTTGTTGGGGTCTTCCTTTTCTTTGTCAGCAAAATTTCTCTCTTGGAAATATTCCCGTAGTATTATTATATTAAGAAGAAAGGACATGTGGCAGACACTGGTCTTTTAAGTAAATCTTCAGCAAAGTTTTCTCCCAAAAAGTAGTTAAGAGCGTGGACTCTGGAGCTAAAATATTTTTATTCAAATTCTGGCTTCACCGTTCACTGGCTTTGTGACTTTGGCTGATTTGCTTAACCTCTCTGTGTCTGAGTTTCCTTACGTGTAAAATGAAAATGATGATAATACCTACATCATACAGTTATTGTTAAGTTCCAATAAGTTATTACTTACAAAATTCTTGCATAAGTGCTAAGGACTCTATGACTGTTGTTGGCTCTGGTTACTATCACCTACTATTTTTTTATTTTTTCAATTACAGTTTACATTCAATATTATTTTGTATTAGTTTCAGGTGTATAGCATAGTGGTCAGACAATCATATACTTTACAAAGTGATCTCCCTGATATTTCCAGAACCCACCTGGCACCATATGTAGTTATTACAATATTATTAACTATATTCCCCATGCTGTACTTTACATCCCCATGGCTGTTCTGTAACTACCGATCTATACTTCTCAAACACTTCACCATTTCACCCAGTCCTCAAACCCCCCTCCCCTCTGGCAACCATCAGTCTATTCTCTGTATCTATAAGTCCGCTTCTGTTTTGATAGAGGAAGAATGAATGAGAAAATTCTCAATATAGAGACCCTGGATAAAATTGCTCAGTTTGCCTTTGTTTGACTCCAATTCTCTCTACAAACAAATAAATAAGCAAACAAACAAATCAGTACTATTTTCTTTCCTCATACTTCCTCTTACAAAGACTGTTTTTAGTTCATTTATGAGCATTTTAATTTAGGAGAAACTGGATTTTCCTATTTTCCACTGTGCATAATATGAGCATATACAATACTTTTCATTTACTTTCCCAGCTCCACTGGAAGAGAGTACTCAACATTTTTTTAGTTTTAATAATATATTTTGTTTAACATGATATATCCAAATGATAAATTTTAATATGCAATCAATATATACATTATTAATGAGATATTTTATATTCTTTTGTTATACTTGGTCTTCAAAATCTGTTATGTACAGATTTTACTTATAGCATATCTCAATTTAGAGTAGTCACCTTTATTTTTATTTAATCTTTTTAACAAGGCACCCACATTTTATTATTTTTTACTTTAATTTATTGTTTACTGTATTGCAAATGTCCCCATTTCTCCCCGACTTTGTCCACCTCCTCCCACCATTACCCCCCCAAAGTTTTTACACTTATCCCCAGCTATGATATATTTTCCTTGTTTAGATGTTAATATTTTTAAAATTGAGGTATAATTGATATATAACAGTATTAATTTCAGGTGTATGGCATTATGATTTGATTGATATATGTATATATTGTGAAATGATTACCACAGTAAGTATAGCTAACAGCTATCACTCTACATAGTTACAGAAATTTTTTTTTGATAAGAACTTCTAAGATCCACTCTGTTAGCAACTTTCAAATATACACTGCAGTATTATTGACTGTAGTCACCATGCTGTGCACTACATCTCCATTACTTATTTTATAACTGAAGTTTATACTTTTTGACTCCCTTCCCCCATTTTGTCCACCCCAACTCCCCATCTCAGGCAACCACCAATTGGTTCTTTATAGATGCTTAGATATTACACATTCGTTATTCATTTACTCATTGGTTTGTAAAATACCTAAGAAATACCTATAAAATACCTTACAAATACTTGTTTTCTTTAGGATTGTTATTCTTATTAAAGAAAAGGGAAATCAAGGAAAGAAGCTTTATAAAGTTGCTTAAAATCAGAGTTGGAATCAATTAAAAAGTAAAAGTTAATATCTACAGATTGCTTCCCTTGTCCCACTTTCTGCTTCTTATCAAATTATCATCTCACTGGACTATAGAGATATAACTAGAGTCATCCTCAAGTTTTATTCACTGACACTCAATATATATATTTTTTTCAGTCTGAGTACTGTGGACTTTACATCTTTATTGGGAAACTTTGAGGAAATATGCACATTTCAACAGACCCTCTGCCAAGCCTTGGAAGAATGTTCAAAGTAAGTGTCACATATTGCCATAAGGATAGCCAGCAACACATCACTTTTGTGTTTTTTTTCCTTTTTAACTGTTGTATTAAATAAGGACACTTTATATGTATGCATTTGATACAACTTAGATAAATTGTCCCAGAGCAAAGAGAATGCACCAGGTGGTGATATAGTGTCAAACCACTAGTTGTATTTTTTACTATATTTAAAAATCCTATCAGTTTACTGCTTCTGGTCAGTATAAGAGAAAAATAACATCTCAACTGACCATGGATGATGCCTTTGACATCGATTATATATTTTATATTGTACATTGTGAATTACTTAGAAAAGTTATTCAGATTATTCATTCAGTTTCACAAGCTTGTTTTTATTCTTTAATTACTCCTGGTACCATGTCTATTATATTAATAGTTGAAAGATATCAAAAGTAGGGAAAAGAAAAGTACATTTTTATGTGAACTAAAACATGTATTTGATGGCTAACTAGATTATTGAGTTGTTCAACTTCATATGACAGAATGAACTGTAATTATGTAATTATCATCAGGCAGTATATTTCTGTACCAGGATTAATTTTCCAAGCAATGTATTTTGGATAAGTTGGTGACTCTAATCATCTGTAGGGAAATAGGGGTGATTGCCCTGTTTCTTCAGTTTTATGGGACACATGGTTGTCCAGGGAAGAAGATGCTAAGAACCCACACTAAAGAGACCTTAAGAGCCATTCTGAAAGCTAATAATCATCCAGATTATTCACATGGAAAGATGGTCACTAAGTGAGAAGAGCAGATTAAAAACTAGATTTGTGACCCTTATTTTCCATTTTATGGAGAAACACGTAGAAGAAAGTCCAATGAATATGACAAAATTGTTATAATAGATATCTCTGAATGGCGGAGTTCTGAGTAATTTTTTTTGTGTGTTTTTCTGTGTTTTCTATAAATAAAAACATGTGGTTTATAATTGAAAAAAATAATTTTAAAAATCATGAGGACATCCTGCATAGTAATCACCAGGCCACCAAGACTATATAGAGCTTCTTTTTTTATTTCATTAGTTTTGTCTGTACTTGAACTTCACCTAAATTAGCCAAGAGTATTTTTAGGGTGCTCAGCTAAAAACTTTATATTAAAATTTGAATAAGCATTTTAGAAGAAAATCGTACCTACTGATTCCAAATAAGTAATATCTAACCATATGTATTGGCCTATATTTAATGGATAAAGTTAAAGCAGTATTCAAAAACTTGCATTTTATGTATAAAAGGGTTGGAATATAGTTTCTTTTTTAACTTTGGCAGAAGAATTTGAAAGGTTAGCATGTTCCTGGGTTTAATCAGAATTATCTTCTCCTGTTTCCTATTTTACATTCTATGTCTCACCTGTTTTACCTACAGATTTCCAGAAAATCAACACAAAGTAGGAGGTTGTCTATTGAACCTCATGCCTCATTTTAAATCCATGTATCTGGCTTACTGTGCAAATCATCCATCAGCTGTAAATGTACTCACCCAACACAGGTAAATCATTAAGATTTCCCCAAATAATTGTTTTACAATTAGATGCTTTCCTAGGACCACCTCATTTGAAAATCCAAGGTCTCTAGTCAAACTCTTAATTATTCCCATTCACTATGCCAGGAATTGATTCATTGTTACATGGATTGACTGATTATTAAGGCAACAAATAATTTACTGAGCATCTAATATGTGCAAGGTTCTGTATTAGCTGATGGGAGTACAGTAGTGAACAAGGAAGGCAAATTCCCTGCCTTCATGAAGCATAGAATCTTGAGGAAAACACAGGCCTGAAATTAAATAGTGTAAACATGTTGTATACAAAAGTGTAATTAAAAAGGATGCTTTGAGACTTTGGAACATAGTATCATCTTAGTGTGGGGTGAGGGAAAGATTAGGGAAGGCATTTCTGAAGTAAAATTCCATTTAGATCCAATGGTTTAGCCTTCCCCCGTCCCAATGAATGTTTTATTTGAGTTGCTGACAAATAGCTCAACTGTCTAGGTTCATCCCTTTTTCAATTTTTTTTTCCTGGTAGAGGAAGTCTCAGACTGGTATGGCTACAAGACAGGTATTAACATAGAAAGGTGGAAAGAAATTAACATGGTGAACTGTGTGGCAGGTACTTTAAGCAAAGGACCCATAATAATTATACATTGAATATAAATTGTTTTTGATTAATGGAGAACAACAGAATAGTCTCCTTTAGGAGTCCTTGAAGAGGCTAGGATAAATCTTCTACCTTCTTTTACCCTCTGATTACCTATCCCTGACACATTTGCTGGGACATTTATCTAGGCCAGAACACTGTATGATAGGCTTAAAGATGCAGTTTTAACTTTGAAATCATGTGCTAGAAATTCAGGTGGGATAATAGCAAGAACAACACACACCAGCTCTTAGGACTTAACGTGTAGACTAGATTCGTAATGAACACAAATTCTGGAGGCTGTTCAAGAAAGAAAAGTATATTCTTCTCTTAATCTGGCCCAGACTTGAACTCCCAGAGCCAGCCTAGAACACTAGTTGATACCAACCCTCAGAAGTGGCAGAAATTTTGCTCTCTCTTTTTTTTTTTTTTTTTTACTGATTTGTTATGAGCTTTATTGACTTTATAGAGCTATTATGAGGGAACATTTTAAATGTAGAACACAGTAGGTCCAACTGAGTCCTATTTTATTCTCTTGATCAAAGTTGTGAATTCTTATGGAATAGTAAATATGAAAGTTGAGTTAAAAAAAGAGAAGCCATGACTCTGGGTTATTTAGGCAAGCGGCTCAACTGTTTAAAGCTCATGATAGCTAACAATAACGCTGACAATGTGCCAGGCACAGGATTTAAAAAAAGCCTATGATGGAGTTACTATTATTAACACCCATACTTTACAGATAAGACATTAAAAGTTCAAGTAATCTGCCCAAGAACTCATAGCTATTAAGTGGTTAAGCCAGAATTAGAATCAAGGTCTGTAAGACTTCTAAAAAATATTTTTATTGATATTTTTATCTACAAAGAGAATAACAAATGCAAATTTAAAGAATTATAACAAAATGAACACCCATGTACATGCCACCCTGCTTAAGATATAAAACATTACCGTTTCCTTTTTATATAATAGCTTAATTGAGTTAAATTTCATATACCTGTCTTTGACCTGTTTAAAGTATATTGTTGAATTATTTTCAGTATATTCAGACTTGTGCAACCACAATCAATTTTAGAACATTTGTATTATTCTCCAAACAAACCCATATATATTAGCAGTCAGTCCCCATTGCTAGCCTAAGGCACCCAGTAAAATACTTTTCACTCTGGATTAGCTGTTCTGGACATTTCATTTAAGTGGAATCACACAACATGTGGCTTCTTTCACCTAGCACAGCATTTTTAACGTTTTTCTATGTTGTAGCACTTATCAGTATATTGTTTAAAAAATTTTTAATATACCTCTGACCAGTGTGGCTCAGGTGGTTGGGCTTCATCCCACAAAATGAAAGGCCACCAGTTCGATTCCTGGTCAGGGCACATGCCTGGGCTGTGGGTTTGGTCCCCAGTTGGGGCGCCTATGAGAGGCAACTGATCATCGTTTCTCTCCCTCCCTTCTCCTCCCTCTAAAAATAAATAATAAAATATTTTAAAAAATTTTAATATAGCTAGTCAAGCTATCTTTTGATTATTGTTAATATATCTTTTTTCATCCCCTTTAATCTATCTGTCTTATAGAAAACATACACCTGAGTCTTGTTTTGTTGAATATACTCTTGACAGTCTCTTTTAATTGGCATATTTAGACCATTTATATTTAAAGTGATTATTTATATACTTGGATTAATATTTACCATGTTTCTAACTGTTTTCTATCCATTGCACTTGTTTGTTTCTTTACCACACCCCCTTTTGCTGCCTTCTCTGGTTTTAGTTAAACAGTTTATATGATTTTGTTTTCTCTCATAGTATATTTTTCTTCTTCTGAAAAATAAATTAGTGGTTTCCCTAGAGTTTATGACATCCATTTACAACTACTCTATAGCACTTTCACATAACACTGTACCATTTTATAGGTAGTCCACATACCTTATAACAGAGTCGTTGCAATTCTTCTCCCTCATCCCTTAAACGTTGTTCTCGTTTACTTCATTTATCCATAAGGCAAAATCACCCAATATATTGTTGCTATTGTTATTTTGAACAATTATCTATTAGACCCACTAAGAATAAGGGAAAAAAGATTGTATTTTACCTGAATTTATTATTCTCTGACACTCTTCCTTTTTTATGTAGATCTATGTTTCCTTCTCTCTGAAAGACTCAACAATTTTTGCATAGGTGGCCTATTGGAAATGATTTCCCTAAGTTTTTATTTGTCTAAGGAAGTTTTTTCTCTCCTCTACTTCTTTTTTCCCTTTTAATTTTACTGTGGTAAAAAAAATATGACATGAGTTTATCCTTTTAACAAATTAAGTGTACAGAACAGTATTTTTAAACTAAGCACATTTTTGTACAGCAGATGTCTAGAACTTTCATCTTTCATAATTGAAACATCATATTTATTGAACAGTACCCCCGTTCAGCTCCTGCCAATGACCATTTACTTCCTGCATCTATGAGTTTGATTACACTGGATACCTCATATAAATGGAATCATGTAGTATTTATTCTTCTGTGGCTGGATTATTTCACTTAGCATAATATCCTCAAAGTTCATCCATGTTGTCACATATGACAGGATTTCCTTCTCTTTAAAGGCTGAATAATATTACATTGTATGCATATACCACATTTTCTTTATCTATTCACCCATCAGTGGACACTTAGGTTGTTTCTAGGACTTGCCTATTGTGAATAATGTTGCAACAAATACCGGGATGCAAATACCTTTTCAAGATCCTGATTTTAATTTTTTCATGTAAATACCCAGAAGTGAGATTGCTGGATCATATGATAATTCTATTTTTAATGTTTTGATGAACCTCTATAATGTTTTCTATACATAGTGGCTGCACCACTTTACATTCCCACCAACAGTGCACTAAGGTTCCAATTTTTCCACATCTTTACCTGTATTTGATGTTTTTTAAAAAGAAAATAATGGTCATCCTAACTAGATGTGAGGTGATGTTTTACTGTGGTTTTGATTTGCATTTCCCTGATGATTAGTGATGTTGAACATCTTTTCATATACCCGTTGTTGACCATTTATATGTCCTCTCAGGAGAAATGTCTATTTAGGTCTTTTGCCCATTTTTAAATTGGGTCATTAATATTTTTACTATTGAGTTGTAGGAGTTCCTTATATTTTGGAAATTAACCCCTTAACAAATATAAAATTTGCAAGTGTTTTTTCCTATTCCAAAGATTTCCTTTTTCACTCTTGATTATTTTCTTTGCTGTGAGGAAGTCCTTCAGATTGACGGAGTTATACTTGTTTATTTTTCCCTTTGTTGCCTGAGCTTTTGCTGTCATGTCCAAGAAATCATTGTCAAGACCAGTGCTGTGACGTTATTCTTCTATGTTTTCTTATAGGAGTTTTAAGTCTTGGGTTTAAGTCTTGAACATATTTTGATTTGATTTTTATTTGTGTAAGATAAGAGCCCAATTTCATTTTTTTTTTGGCACATGAATGTCCAGTTTTCCCAGCACCATTTGTTGAAAACACTATCCTTTTTCCATTGTATATTTTGGGCACTCTTGTCAAAGATCAATTGAGCATATAAATGGGTTTATTTCTGGGCTTTCTGTTCTGTTACACTGATCTACTATCTGTCTTTATGCCAAAACCACACTGTTTTAATTATTCTAGCTATGTAATATGTTTCAAAATAACAAAATGTGAGTCATCCTACTTTTTTTTTCTTACCATTGTTCTGATGATATCGGGTCTTTATGATTTCATAGAAATTTGAGGATATTTTCTATTTCTGTAAAAAAGAGCCATTGGAAATTTTATAGGGATTGGAGTACATCTACAAATCCCTTTAGGAGGTATAGACATTTTAGCAATATAAAATTTTCTGATCCATGAATATGGGCTGTCTTTCCACTTGTTTGTATTTTTTTCTTTCATTTCTTTTATAATGTTTTGTAATTTTTAGGGTACAACTCTTTGATCTCCTTGGTTAAGTTTACTCCTAAGTATTTCATTCTTTTCGATGCTCTTGTAAATGAGACTTTTTTGCCCTTAATTTTCTTTTTGGATACTTTGTTGTTAATGCATAGAAATGCAACTGACCTTTTTTTGCAACTGACTTTTGTATGTTAATTCATATCCTGCAATTCACTAAATCCATTTATTCTACATTTTTATGGATTACTCAGTGTTTTCTACATATAAAATCATGTTATCTGTGAACAGAGATCATTTCACTTCCTTTTCTATTTGGATGAATTTTTAAAAAATATTTTTTATACAAAGGATTGTCCGAAACTACTATGAACAATTGTATGCCAAGAAATTTCAAAATCTTCATGAAATGGACACATTTTTAGAAAAGTATAATCTTCCA